TGTTGTTTGTTTATATCACGGAGTCTGTTCTTCTTCTGGTTGTTCCGGTTGTTGCCTCTTTTGAATGATGAATAAACACTACCGCCGCCTGCTGGTAAGGAGAGTTATTGCCACTCACGCATTTGCAGTTCATACGTGCTCGGCTCGGATTTGCGGTGTGTTCCAGTGCGCGAAGTCGGCAAATACGCAGGAGAGTCCGGCGACGCAACAATCGGTGTCGGCGTCGGCGACTTCTCAGGTGACTGGCCGGTGTATCTGAGCCTTAACACATAAACACTAATGGTGGCTTCTTTTCACACCCAGAAAGTATAGTGAAACATTTATTATATGCTGGCGGTTGTTGAGTGTGAGAAGTTCTCAGCTTTTGGACGTATTGAGTGCACATTTGGGTACAAATACGAGTTGCCATACTTTGAATTTGGACACACTTTTCCATATTGACATTGAGACAAAACCCTATCCATATGATTAGTTATTTTCACATTTTAGTCTTTAGTACAAAAGTGTGAAGAAACAGGTAAATATGGCTATGAAGAGAAATGGAGGACATGTTATACATGTGCCACAACAGGTTAAAAAACCATGACACAGGGACATTTGTTCTAGGATGTTTGCCTTGAATGTTGGACTGCCTAGACCCAGTGAAGAACGGCATGATGTGTGCATGGACTGAATGAATAAACTGAGCATGATGACCAATTTAAGAGAAGTGGATTACAGAAAGTGTGTTCTGACACTTCGGTTGTGACTTACTTTATAAAGGCGGCAAGCCACACTTTCCAGAGACAACTCAGTCTTTTTAAATTCAAGGTGTAGCTCCTGGATTACGATTCCCTCTGTTACACTGGATTGGCTTTATGCCTCTGTTGATCTGTGATGACTTAAACAAAATGAAAATATAGGCTATGTAGATAAAGGAAAATATACAGTATGTGAACTGATGCTCTAGGCTTTGTCACTTTGTACTGTTACTGTATGAGAATGTAACATAGTCAGTTGGAGCAGTTTTTGCATGGAGGCAACATTATTAACAGTTAATCATGGAGGGAGGTTGTCAGCGGGGGTGGTTGCAGTTTTCATAATGGCCTAATTTCCAGCAATCGCAGACTAATTATCTGCATTCAGAATGGTTGTGAATTCTCTTTGTGACTATGGGGGAAGTTTTAATAAAGAGTTTATAGTGCAGGGTTGAGTCGTTGGGTTTTATGTTTAGAAAACACCATAGGCCATAACTGCGCCATAAAGCTGTGCCATAACTTCGCCATAATTAAAAAGGTATATTCTTATTAGAAGCCTGTTTCATGCTAATGCTACCAGCAGGCATTGTGCTGTTGTGGATACATTACAAATAATTACAAGGATTAGCTTTTACTTTACCGATTTACTCTAATATTTGAAGTTAAGTAATATACTTTAAAGTGACATACCTAAAATAGCTTGTGCTGCGGGTATATTAAATTACTTGCAACATTAAAATATAAGACAGCTTAGATATCTGACAAAGCACTAGATAAAAACGTTTGACTGAATTAAAAAGATAGATAATCTTTTAAATTATACAGGTATCATGATTATTAAGTGTTTTATTATTTTAAGCTTATTAATGTAAACATAGCAACTATTCTGTTGACTTTAGCAACTGAAAACTGATGGCTGGTTGCCTCTTCTAGAACGTATTTTTGTACCCTATATTATAATAATGCCATATTCTCAAAGAGATACTATTTTGATGTATATTTTTCCATAATTCTTCCAGACACTTAAATCATTATTCCCCTTCTTATATTAGGACCCTGACTGGTCAGAAAGTCTGCCATTGGTCCTCCTGAGCTCTACATATGATTTAAGGGCAATAGTAAGGCAAGGCAAGTTTATTTATATAGCACCTTTTAACACAAGGCAATTCAAAGTGCTTTACAAAAACGAAAGACAATAAGAAAATGGCATTTAAAAACAGTCATTAAAAAGCAAAGATAATAAAATAAACATTAAAAGAAAAAATACATGAATAAAAGTAGTAAATGTCATGTTTTCCATATTTTTCGAGTGAACCACTGGACTACTCCAGTGAACGACTGCACAACAAATGCAGCATTTAAAAGTGTAGCGCGTTTGCACCTGTCAGCTTCCATACTTTTACAGTGTAAACAGTGCCGTGGTCATTCCTAGCATTCGGTGCCATTTCAGCTAGGGTATTCAAAAATAAAAAACATAATTTTCCATGTTTTTTTTTTATTTAATCTGAATGATGGCTTGTTAAAGTATAAGAAAAATATTTTGGTCAAGCTCAGGATATTATGCTTACATTTTTTTTTTTTTACCATCCCCAGTTACTGTGTGTGCACCCTGTTACTGTGAAAAATAGTGGACGGTAACAGGGTGGACATTTTAGGCTAAACTTGGCTATTGCTACATGTGTGATGATAATCAAGCTAGCACTTGTGACAACAGAGAAAGATATTTGATAGATATATTCACATTTTTTTCTAAATGTAGATATTTTGATCAGTTTCCACAAAAAATGAACATAACAGGGTGGACATGTTATGCTTTACCGCAACAGTTAAGTTCATTAAAAACATTAAAAAATCGTTGAAAGAAGAGTGCATACTTACTTTGCTTCTTGAAGATGATTTTCCAGCTCAAAATGTATCCTTCTTCTTGAGTCATACAAATAGTAGAATAGTAAAGGGGCATGTCCAGAGGGATTCAAATCAGAGTAACAGAGGGGACATTAAAACAGGGGACACACACTTTTTAAAAAACTTTAATCAATAAAAATGAATTAACAAAAACAATTTAAATTTGGTGAGGAATATTAATAAAAGGGTTATACAACAGTGACACAAATGTAGAATTTGTTTGTATTTGTTTGATTTCTTTGTTTATATCTGTTAGAGAAGTTGAGCAAAC